GTAAGAGCATCTCACACCCAAAGCAAATCCAGAAGGCGAGTCGATCAATAAGGTACCGTTTTGCTTGCTTTCCGTCTCAGAAGAGCTGAGTAGGCGATCCGATCGATTCTGCATAGGTGTGACCTACGAGAGGAAGTCAGGATTGTGGAAATTCCCCCTAAAAGTCTTAAGCGCCAGCTCATCCGCAACAGGCTCTATGACAGCCTCGGAGCAATGATTTTGTACTCCTGCTGACTCGGGACAACTTGCCAACTCCTTATTATAGGGCACCATCCACTGCGGGACCCGCTGCCTCCAATCATTGCGATATCTTTAAAATCCGTTGATGTTCACGTAATTCGATGAAAAATCAGAACTCCTCCTAGCCTGCAGAACTTTTGTCCCGCACGGCAATGTGTCTCGCATACTAGTGGCGTCTCAGACCCGTGGGTTCAATGGCATGCCCCACGAGTCCCCAATAGCATGCCTCACGTCTGAACTGGTATGGTATTTGCACACGAATATCGAAGTATTAGTGGGGCAGCAGTAAAGAAAAGAGGACAAGAATCCGCGAATGAAGTTAGTTAAGCGCTTGCTCATCTCCGTAACTCCGTAATGCGTCTGTGCTAAGGCAATGAGGCTAGGTACGGAGAGGAGAGTTTGAGGCGAGATGACATAGTGCTAAACAGCCTGCTACGGAAGGGAAACATTGCACCTGCTGCAGCTAAGTTTGCAAGACTCTAGCGCCCTTGCCAGGTGAATTCCTGCGCCCTTGCCAGGTGAATTCCATGCCACACCTGTGATTTACCTCTGGGGGTCTATCCTTGTTTTACGGACAACTGCGCAGTTCGGCTAGGTGGCACAATTGGACCTGAGGGAATCCTTCCCACGACCACTACCTTGCTTCAACGTCTGTAAGTCACTGTTGTTATGTTGCTTCATTATTGGCTTGAGGTTTAATGCTTTTTTAGTCACAGAATAACTGTTTCACTCCTGACACTTCCACACCAGTTTCAGTGCAATTTCCAGTTGTGCTACCGCTGCTTTGAAACGCGCTGCATGTCATCTGTAGTGGTTATGGTAGCGTTAGATGTTACCTCAATAGTCGTTCGGCACTAGTTAGGTCCACATACTACTTGAACACAGCCCTTTGCACCCTCTGCGCTCTCTCGCGGGTCCCTCTCCTCTCCAAGGCTTAGTCCTAGGGCATTCACCCGTTCTCTAATCGTCTGTGCTCTAGCCATCGCGGCAGGACCATTGAGGAAAAGTCAAGTATTCCATAAACCTAGTGTTCAGATCTTCAACCCCATGCTGATCTTGAGGAGATAGCTCAGAATAACGCAGAGAAGAAAGACGCCAATGAAATCAAACGCGATCGATTTAGATTTTGAAGAGATCACAGTGCTGGAGGCAGTGAGTCCCGCAGCGATGGCGCCCTATAATAAGGAGTTGGCAAGTTGCCCGAGTCAGCAGGAGTACAGAATCATTGCTCCGACAGCCTCTGCGACGCCCCTGATTGCATTGTATGTCCTTTCAACAAAGAAGGTGACTGCATGAAGGCTGGATACGGGTAAAGGAACATATGAACGGGCCTAGGAAACCGCAAACCCAAACCCCGCTGGGAATGCATCGTGTTCAATGTCATGGAGATGTTGAATTGTTCAGTTTCCTTGGCAGTAAAAACTGAAACAACAGCGCGCAAGACCTTAGAAATTTCTGGATTGCCGCCAAAGACCCTAACATCAATGGAAAAGTGGAATATGTAGCCATAACCCGTGACCTCGCGCCATTTCTCGGCCTCTGTAATTTCTGACCTACAGTGAGGTCGTGGAGGTGGAGGTGTAATGCTCAAAGCACTCAAGTTCAACTCTAGAAACACTCTTCACATTGACCGATACCGACTGAGGGTTTTCTAGTCTATTGGGGTTGTCTTCAGGATTGTTAGAAGCTTCGAGGGATCGATCTCAATGTTCTCGACTTTTTCAGGCTCTGAAGAAGGCGAAGAAAGCCGAAACGTCAGCCTTGTTAAGTACTACAATCTTGGAGAGGCTTCAATAAATTATGGCTGAATCCCAATGCCAAGATTAGAAGGAAGTCGATCGTGGACTATAAAAACACTAGTGTTCTATAGAATTCTCAGAATTGGGTTGTTGCCTCGTATCAATTTTGTCTTCTATTCGAGAACACAACCACTCACGCTAATGTTGTTCTATTGGTTTTTTGTGCATTGCGTGCACCCAGCAAAAGTTGCGCATTTGCCCGACTCCAGTCAGCACGAATCCATACTTGTCTTGTTCTGCAGTTGTTCGCTCATTATGTAATGCATGTTTAACACAAAACAATCGACAATTTATCCAGTGAGCTTTGCACAATAATTATTTTCGGCACACAAAGTAGTTACGTCCGTTAAGATCCGTAGCCGTTAGATCACAACCACTTATCAGAAAGTAGGAGGGTTCAACACCACGCGCATGAATCTGCAACACTGCTATTAAGGAACAATGAGAGACAAGTGTTTGCATTTTCTCTCGTGGTCTAAACACGAGCTTACAAAGCAGAAGATAACAAGGAAAACTACACAATACCAAGGAAGTACCTCAAACTTCAGTTTTCGTTCAAAGTGAGTGGAACATACAGGGTGAGTCACATGATGACAAGGTTGGGTATCCCGGAGGCCCGCTGCGCGACGAAGTCAGAGACGCAGGCGCGAGAGAGGACGAGTCGCTCCTCATTTTGTAGCGGTTAGACGTCAAGTTCAATATACGCATTACAATACGTCTCACACCATTCACGCCACGGCGTGGGCTCAGATGCGTTGCATTGCAGATATCGCGTCTTTGAGCCCACGCCGTGCAGTGAGTGGCGTGGAACGTACTGTAATGCGTTATGTTGAAGTTGACGCTTAACCGCCACAGCATGCGGTGCGACTCGTCCTCTGCCACGCCTGCGTCTCTGAGTTCGTCGCGCGACGGGCCTCCTGAGGGTATGCGACAAGGTTGGAATCCGATACGCGCGGTTGCAGAGATCTGAGCATGGATCAGGGCAAAAATCGTGTCGTGTGAATGGCCACGTCTTTACGCT